ATATATATATATAAATATATTTATTTATATATTTTTTTTATATTTAAACTTATATTTTTTTAATCATTATCTTATTTGTTTTTATTTTAATTTATATTTATGAAATATTTTATTCTTAATATAAATTAAACACATCTACTATATATTTTTTTTATATCTAAAATTAATAAACTAAAAAAAAATATAATATTTTATTTTAAAAATAGTTTATAATATGTTTATAATAGCATCAATTAATATTTATAATAAATCATTTTTTTTCATATAAAAATTTACAATATTTATTATTATAATAACTATTTAGTTTCTTATAATTATTTTATTATTATGTTTTTAATATTAAATAAATAATAAAAATACAATACAAATAATTTAAATAAATTATATATAATAATATATATATTTTTAAATAATTTTTTTTCATTTATATATATAAGATAAAATTCGTTTCAATAAATAATTATATTAATAAATTTATAAGCAGTTTAAAGTAAAAATTAAGTATATTTTTTACCATTAATGGAAAATAAATACAATTAATATATAAAACAAATTGGTTCTCCATTAAAATAATAAAATTTAAATAATCAAGAAATTAAAAATTAATAATATTGTCAAAACTCTCATTAATTACCAAATACTTAAATTCTTAGAGTATATTAAAAAAAAAAAGTAATATTCGAGGAATTTAAAAAAATAGGCTCGATGATAATTCTAAAAAAAAGTAATAAACTTATTATTGTTATTTTTTTTAACAAAAATAAATACTCATATACATAGTAATAATTATTGTTAATGTAAATATAAAATGATTAAAAAAAAAAAAATTAAAATATTAAAAACTATTTTTAGAAAAAATAAAATGAATTGATTGATATAGTATTGAAGAATCAAATATAATCTGAAAAATAAACAAAGCCTTTAGAAGAAACAAATACATAATAAAAAGATTAAAATAATAAAATAGTAGCTTTTATGAATTATAATGATTAATTTAATATATAGATTAAAACATATAAAATATAAAATTAAAAAATTAATAAAAATAATAAAATAAATAAAATAATATTTATAATGATATAAATTAGCAATAATAAAAAAAAAATTGTATAAATTAATAATAAATAGATGAAAATAATAATAAAAATATATAATCTTAATAATTAAATCAATATTATAATTAAATTATTTCTTTACAAAAAAAGCATGATTGTGAAAAAAATTCTTAATTTATTATATATATTTATATATACAAAAATTTATTACTAAAAAACTAAATTTTTTTAATTATTTTATAAGAAAAAATCTAAATAAAAAAAAAAAAAATTAAAAAAATATTATATTAAAAATATATAAATATATGTTTTTATAAAAATATATATATATAAATATATAAAAAAGAATATATTTATTATATAAAATTCTAAAAAATATTTATATTATTTATATTATTTATATTATTTATATTTTTAAATTTTATTATATTTTTATATTTAACATGATGCAATTATTCAAATTCCTTATACTGGAAAAGAATCAATAAAAGAAAAGTTTTAATTATACTGACGATTTATATTAATATATTATTAAATTATAAAATATATCTAATAAATACTATATGCAATATATTTTGCCTCTAAATATTAATAAACAAATTTTTAAAATAAAAAATAATTTTTTTTTAATAATCTTATAAAATATAAAAAAAATATTAAAAAAAAATTGAATACTTTAAATATATATTTGAATATGTAATCATAAAAAAACTGGGATTTAATAAAATTAAAAATTAAGTCTTTATTTAACATCGAAACAGGACTATATTAAAAATAAAATGATTTAATAGATATATAATACTAATAAAGTTAAAATCAAATTAAATAAATAACATAGAATCAATATTTAGATTAAGAAATTAATTAAATATCATTAGTATAAAATACATTATTAGAATAAAATCATTAAATTTTAATACAGCATGATTAAAATAGTAACTAATAAGAATTATTTTAAGATATAGATAAATAAATTACATAAAATCAAGACATAAATAACTATTCAAACTAAATATAAAATGTTAAAGTTATAACCTAATAGAAAGATATAGTACAAGAATAATAAAAATTGCTTATAAAACGTAAACAAAAAAAAGTAAAATAAAATAAATTAATAAAGAAATAAAAAAATAATAATAAATAAGAAATAAATAAAGTATAAACTAATGTAAAAGACTAAATATATATAAAATACGATGAAAACTAAGAAAATATAAAGCTCACTATATATAACCGAGCATATGAACTAGACTTAAAAAACGACGAAATAAAAAAAAACTCCTAGCTAATATAAATAGTGGAAGATATATTTTAACTTATCCAACTTTTAAATGAAAAGCAATAAATTTAATTTCCTAAAATAAAAAATATTACATCTTATTTTTAATTTACTTCTCTAGAGTATTATCTATAAATAATATTAAGTAAATAAACAAAAAGCCAATCCAAGAAGAAACTGTTGCATTTGTCAATGCGAACTATTTGAAAATATAGAAAACTATTCTCATGAATAATTCATATAATAACTAAAAGAAAGCGATAAAGATGTAATAGGATTAGAACATTGTGATGGACATTATTTTCATTTAGAATGCATTTCTTAAATGGTCTCTGAGACATATACCAAATGTCCTATTTGCTCTAAAATATATGGTGTTATGATTGGTATTAATATAATATATTTTTATTTTATTTTATTAAAAAATAAAAAAGGTGATTAACCTGATGGTAAATTAAAAATTAATTTAAGAAATTTCTCTTGTGATGGCTATGAAAATTATAAAACTATTATTATGGATATGGATATGTATGCAACTGTAAAGAATGGTATACATATTTCTCCTACTTATAGAGTTGCTTATCTTCCTGATACAGAAGAAGGTAGAGAAGTAAGAGATTTGATAAAACTAGCTTTCGAAAGAAAACTTATTTTTACGATTGGAAGAAGTGTTACTACAGGAAAAGATAATAGAATTGTTTGGAATGGAATTCATATGAAAACTAATACAAACGGAGGTAATTTTTTATTTTTTTTATTTATGTTTTATTATTTTTAGGAAGTGCTAATTTTGGCTATCCTGATGAGACTTATTTAAAAAGAGTAAAATAAGAATTAACATTAAAAGGAATATATTGATTTTTTTGTTAAAAAATAAAATATTAGTTTAATTAATATTTCTTTATAAAATTTTATTTAAATTTAAACAAAAAACAAAAAAAATTCAATTTATTATTTAATTTACAATTTTATTTTGTTTTAAAAAAAATATATATATATATAATTAAAAAAAAAAAATGCATTTTTTTTATGATGATGATGAAATAAAATAACAATTATCCTATATTTTAAAGCCTAAAAGAACAAAATACTAAACAAACGATTTAAGTATATATAAAAAAAAAGGGCATATTAATTCCGAAAAAAAAATAAAAAATAAAAGACATATATAATCAATAAATATATAATCTTCAAAGGCATGATTTTTAAGTCCGGAACAACCGAAACTAAATTATTGAATCATCAATATTTTCCACTTAAAACATGAATCAAAAAGACTATATAATTATATATTTACATGGTAACGGTGGCAGTAGACTTGATAGTTTAGGTTTAATTCCTTATTGTATGAATAATTTAAAAATGGATTTATGTACATTTGATTTTACAGGTTGTGGCAAAAGCGAAGGCCATTATGTGACTTTAGGACTAAAGGAATAAGAGGATTTATAGAGTGTAATAAATGAACTAATTTTAAAATATAAATATAATAAATTTGTATTATTTGGGATGTCTATGGGGGCTGTAACAGTCTTTTTATTTTGTTGCACTTTTCGAAATTGGGTAGAAAAAAATGTTGTTTGTATTATTTTGGATTCTCCTTTTGTGAGTTTTAAATAATTAATATATGAGTTTGCAGAAGAAAAAGTTAAATTCGGTAGCATTTTAGCTGGTATGAGCATGTCATATGTAAGAGATTTAGCTAAGTAGATAATTGAAGGATATGATGTTTTTTAATTAGATTTAAATACTCTTTCTATGAAATATTAATTTCCATAATGTCTTATTTGTTATTCTTTTGATGATAAATTAGTAAATTTTTCACATTCATAAACTTTACTAAGAAATATGAAAAATTCTAAATCATTTACTTTTAAAGGAGAACATAATTAGAGTAGAAATGAAGATTATTATAAAAATATTGTTATGTTTATTTAATAATATTGTTAAAATAAAAATATTTTAAAAAGTAATAATAATTAAAGAAGATCATCAATATATATATATAATTAAAATGAATTAAATATATAATAATAAAGAGGATCTTCCATAAATATTAAAAATTATAGTAATAATATAATTGTAAATAATAGATATAATAATAATAATATTAATAATAATAATAATAATAATAATAATAATAATAATAATTAATTTTATCATAATATTAATAATCATAAATGTTTAGGCATTTAAAACTTTTATGCATAAAAGTCTTCTTGTGTATAGTAAATTAATTGTCCCTTATCTTTAACTAAATATCAAAGTAATTAAGTTTAAAATATTTATGTTTAATAATAGTATTCAAATAGATCGCCGCTCAATATATTGTAGAGTAATTAATATAAATTATATATTAAAAGGAATTTATGAAAATATTTATATATACTATATTTATTTTTATTTATTTAATATTAGATTAATTTATATTTTTTTTAATAAAATTATATTTATATTAAATAATTATTATATTTTTTTATATTTTTATTATAATTTTTATTTTAAACTTATTAATTTTATAAAAAATACTTAAAAACAGAAAAAGATATAAAATGATATTTATATGCTAATAAAACTAATAATATTTTTAAATATTTTAAAATTATTTTATTTTTAGAAACTAAATACAAATAATAAATGAATATAATAAATTAAATAATGTATAAATAATAAACAAAACAAAAAAAGTATAAAATAAATAATTTTATTTTCTAAAAAAAAAAAAAATTAATAATAAATATGATATAATATAATATAAAATTAAAAAAATATAAGTAATAAAAAGAATTTTAATAATAAATAAGAAAAAATTATTAATTATTAATTATATAATAAATAATATGTAAATTAATATAAAAAATAGAAAATAAAAAAAAAAAAATATTATATAAAATTAATAAAAATAATAAAAATAAAATCTGAATTAAAACATTATAAAGAGGTTAAATAATATAGAAATATTGTAAAATAAATAAATAAAAAATATTTATAAATAAAAAAAAAGAATAAAAAAAAATAA